GACAATTTGATTATTTAATTAAACCTATTAATCATAATTACTTAACCCACTAAATCAACTACTCAACGCCAAATTACTTAATCCACTAATTGCTCTCTTATAATTACAATTTGACTCTCTCAAAATCAACCACCTAATCCACTAATGGCTCTCTCATAATTCCAATTTGACTCTCTCAAACTTAACCATTTAAAATATAATAATTAACCCACTAATCATAATTATACTTAGCCTCCTCTGATTCACTTCTCCAAAAGTCAACGCCAAAAAACATTTATCTCAAGTTGATTTTGTTAAAAATAGTTTTGAGAGATGAGTATGATATTCACAATCAAACTAATTGATTATATAAAAATAACAATTTTTTAAGCTATAGAATAATTTACACTCGCAGTAGTATTAGTTTGGTGCAATGTGTTAACGGCAAAGTCGACACTACAACATCAATAGAAATGGAGAAACGTTTAGAAAATAAAATTTTTTACTTGGTTATTTTGATATAAAATTGGATCCAAAGACCAAATTCAATTGTTTTTTTACTTGAATTGTAAATGAAAGTTGACAACAAAAAGTTCAAAAAAAATTGTAAAATAAACTTATTGTCAATGTTATAAATTGAATGATATTAGTGTCAACAAACGAAAGAAAAAAAAAAGATATTGTTTCATATAAAAAAAATTGAACATTATTAGTAATTTTTAGAGAAATTAGCATGTATATTAGTGTTTTCACCTATAATTTATTATCTAACATGATATAAAACAAAATATAATAACTAACATTAAACTTTCTATTTTGCCCTTTTGTAATTATATAACTTTTTACATAAAAAAAATTAAAACCTATCCTCCTCCTCCTCTTCACTTTGTGTTAACTCATTGTCATGGATCAAAATCTTTAAGCGTGGAATAAGATGATGTTTTTCTTCTCCTCCGTTAATTTCTCTACCGTCATTTATCTCCTGGTCAAATTGAGTTTTCGTCGAAGATCGACATAGTTAACTAGGTACAAAAAGTAACTATATTTCTCATAATAGTTTACTATGTATGTTATTTTTTCATTATAATAGACAATTATGTTTCTAATAATAGTCAACTATGTATGTTAATAACTACGTTTTGAACTAGTTAAATATGTTTGTTTAAATAACTAACTATTACAATAATATTTTCATATAGTTAGCTATATCTTAAAATTAGTAGTGCAATTAACTATGCTCTGAAAATACTTAACTATATTTCCAAATTGGTAACTATTTCCAAAAAATAATTAACTATATTTTAGATAGTTAATTATGTTCTGAGACGTTTCAAAATTAGTTAACTATGTTATTAAATAGTTAACTTTTATGACATATTTATTTTTTGTATTTTTTGATCCAATTTTTTTTTCTATGGCAGTTGTGAAAACACACATCTACTTTTGGTAAGGATACCATCGCAGGAGCAATTTTCTAAGGACTAAATCAAGAGAATATATTTAAGGATTTTAATGTATATTTACCTCAATTATAGTTGTAAGGGCAATTTCGTCATAATTTAATTTTCTTTGCTAGTTGCCTAATTATATTTTTGGATATGTTAATTTTTTAATTATAAGTCTCAAAAGTAATATACACCTAATTAACCCTAATTTTTAACTACGAAATAATAATTTTATAATTGATTTGATTTCTGAAAAAATTTAACCGAGTTACCTAGTTGATTTTGTAAAAAATCAAAAATCAATAGACTATTTCCCCTGGTCACCGTAATTTCTTTTGTTCACACTTAGAGCCTAATAAGAACAAATTTTTTGATATTTTTATAGACAAACCAGTTTAAGAAATGTTTTTCCAAGTATGTCGCTCACATCAGTCAAGGCCTCCCCTTACGCCTCCCCTTGAACTGTCGTTACGTGCCGTGCCTACGGTACAATTAAAAAGGCAAATGACTCGGACGCCGCTTCAGATTTATAATTAAGGACCCCTAGTTTCATATATTTACTTTGCTATATATTCTTTTATCTTTTTAGTCAATAAAGGTTTCTAATCTTAGTATTGATTTTTGGTAGAAAATCATTCTCTACCTACTCATTTAGGTTATTTTGGTTTTTTTTTTGTTTTGATTTTCTATGGGATTTCAAATTGTAAATATCTACTTGATTGTTTTCCGTTTACTTTTCTCAGGAGAGTGTCACATATTTTTTTCTTTTTTGTCGCA